GACCCTGTGTGTCAGCACCTGTTGGCGACCCACTCCCCCACCCATGCTCAGGGTGGGAGCTTCTCTGGCAGGATGAACTGTGATGGGCACAAGGGGCTGTGGGGCTGTCAGGATCCATCCCTCTCCCCCGCCCCAGGGCTGCAAACCCACCTGGACACCTTATGACTCTTAGTTACCCCCAGCTGGCTCCTGGGAGGACATCTCCTTCTCCCCAAGGAGACTGCTGTGGGGACAAACATCAAAGCAAGGCTGCCAGAGAAAGCCACAGCCTGCAGGGAGTGAAGTAACCCTTGAGCAAATCCAGCCATAGCTGCTTGGAGATTTCTCTACCAGCATATAAACCAAACCCATTGCTGTGGAGTCGATTCTGACTCCTAGTGATCCTGGAGGACAGAGGAGAACTGCCCCATAGGGTTTCCAAGGCTGTAATCTTCATGGAAACAGACTGTCGCTCCAAGGCTGTAATCTTCATGGAAACAGACTGTCGCGTCTGGAACGACCAGTGGGTTCGAACCGCCGACCTTTCAGTTAGCAGCCGGGTGCTTAACCACTACATCACTAGGACTCTTCTACCAGTACGTACTAATTAAAAACAAAAAACAGTCCTGTTAACTCTTCGTAATCTCTTTTCCAGACCCCCAGGTTTTTGTTTTTGGCTTTTTCGTTGATGTTTTTGCTAGCTATTTCAAAATTTTTTGTTGCTAGGTTGCTAAGCTTGGGCCCATGACTTTGGTGAATTTCACTTAACCTAAGGCTCCAACTGGAGCTTCTGGTGGTATAAACCAGCTCAGCTGCTAACAAAAGGTTGGTTTGAGTCCACCCTGAAGTGCCTCAGAAGAAAGGCCTGGTGATCTACTTCCAAAAAAAGTCATCCACTGAAAACCCAATGGAGCACAGATCTACTTTGACACACATGGGCTTGCCATGAGTTGGAGTCGACTCGATGGTAAGTGGTACTGGTGGGGGCTCCAGCCCTCATTTGGTAAGGTGTAAGAGCAAACAGTCTCTGAAAGAG